GATACATAAGGCTGTTGTACATGTGCTATGCAGCATGTCCGTGATTCTGTTCTTGTAGGTACATGTACATGTGGTTGATATTTAACACCAGGTGGGCTGGTAGCTACATCTAAGAGAGAGAGAAATTAAAGAGGGAATAACAATTCATATGATGAATGCTATCTGATAATTGCTTGTAAACAGGTCAGGCTTACTTCAGGGCATTACGTAGATGTTATTTTCTGGTAATTTAGGTTGGGTTTGCAATTAATTTCGCAACGGGTCTCTCTAATTTAATATTTAACTGCAATTCGGATCAACAGGTCGACTTTACGAACTGTCAGATCAAAGTGTCACCTTGATGACTTGCGTATATAAAGTTTTAGGACACTATTAGGGTTCTTCGACGAGATCATTTTAGATTGACCTGATGAAGTCTCTCAAGATGCCGATGTCGTTACTCTTCTGAATAGCTGTCTTAATAAAGTTGGGCAAGGAATTACTCAGCTTGCCAGCATGTCCACTTGATACTTTGTCTCACAGGATAAGATATTTACTTGGATTATAAGAAAATAATGCTCTTGGTGTAGTGCTTGTAGCAGTTATTGTGATATTGAAACTTATTATTCAATAAACAAAAGTTCTGTAAATTCTTTTCGATAATGCCTCTAATAGATAGTCATCATAAGTAGATACGAATCTATAAAAAATATAGTACTGAGATCACGCGCGCGCTTTACGTAACTTAAAGACCAATTTGGACCGTATCTGAAACTTGTGCGTACCTGCTCATTGTCTTGTAAATTCGAGGGACTCGGAATTCAATTTCTAAAGGTTCACCTTTTATTAGTTTTATTCCTGACATGAATATTCTAAATAGATAATTAAATTAAACGTAATTGTTATTTTAAATTATATAAGTATCTAAGGTCGGGATAGCTACTTAGAGCAGGTAGGTCATTACTTGTTATTATTACAAATGAAAATTAATTTTCATTGTTTCGTTTATCTGTTACATCTCAATATTCTAATGACATTCATTGCCGAAGGCCAAGAATGTCTTTATTGTCTGTCAGTTCTCAATAAGAGACGGAAATATTACTTGAAACTGCACTAGTAGTTCGATAATTTAGAAAATTATTCTTGTAATTTGAAAAAAATATTGATCGTTATTTTTATGCATAAACTTCAAAATACTAATAATTAATATGATTTTTATTACAACTTGTTTTAATTATTATTCATACAACTCCAATATAAATATTTTAGATGATGATTCAAGACCAAACATTGAATATGATGCCTCTTTATTATTAGGTACGAGTATATAGATAGAGAGATGTTTAGATCTTATACGATATCTACTTAACCCTACCAATTGAGAACTGGAACAGACTTTGTTACACAAAAAGTATAAACAAATTGAATCCTTGTTTTTAAAGCCATTTGAATAGAAATTAAAATTAAGTATCAATTGTCTTTTTAAAAGCCTAAATGGAACAAATATTTGTTCACGCTTTTTCGATTCAAAACGCACCGTTATCAAATACAATTGAATGAGCAACGTTTACTTATTTATATTATTTGTAGTGATTCCAATGAAATTTCATATACCTACAGTAAGTAGTTGCAGGAAGAATATTCCTTCATATAGGAAATTACATCAATTGATTTTATTTATACATAATTCATTAGTGATAGGTACATGAAATGCAGGTGGCATTTCTGGTGTATTTTTATATCATATCTATGGGTACTTATGAGTAATTAATTCAACTAGAATGTATTTTTATGACTTACTGTATTTTACTCATAAGTCTCTTGTATAAACATTATAACAAATATGTCGGATTGTCCGCGACAGAGGCACTGGACATCATTGCACTACTGCGGACTCAGTGCTTCTGGACGTGGTCATATATGAATTAGTATAATAAGGTAGATATACATTATTATGTAATAGGATATATTGTATTTTACTAACATAGTTTATAACTTGTTTTCTAACATAATGGATGGACGGATATCCGAAATAAATGAACAAATAAAAATATATACCTAATGTATGTACATACGTAAATAAATGATTAAAGGTTTTCTCGTCCTACTGTTTACATAAGATTCCCTTTATAAGAGTTGCAGATTGAAGAGGAAATCAATCACAACGTAATTGAAGATTGACCATAATTTGATAACTGTATTCGAGTGTGTGGATAGATTTATTTGACATTATCTAGCACCATTCGAATTCAGTGCTCGAATGTGGGTTATCAACGAAATGTCGTCAAGGGAAGATACAAAAGAAGACTACTAAGACAACTTAATAATTTATTTTTAATCTGTGTAGACACTAATGACACTATACTAATGTGACCTATAATTCTTCTGTACATCTGTTTGGTATTTAACTCCTTGGTTGCACCGTATTGTATGAATATTTGTGCTTTTGTTTTTTATGTAAATATAATAGCAATCAAACTAACGGTCCACGTGATGGTAAGCGGTAACCGTGGCCTATATAGGTACACGAACAGCACTGCGACATCATGTGACAGCCGCGATACCACTCCTGCCTAATCAGCACCCTACAGTCAAACACAGCTTAACTTATACAAGGCAAGTATGTAAGTTGGCGGCTGATATAATATATGAGACTGAGATATCCGGAAAGTCTAATTCGGTAAAATTTACCTATTCCGCATTATATCCATGTAAGTACTTATTCTTTGTAAATCTGCGACATTGTTTGATTAAATAACAAATATCTGTACATATCCAAACCTCGTTACCTTCATATCTTCACATTTGTAATATTTTAGTACATTTAATTTATGTAGGCGTAATTTAAATTGTCTGGCAGGAACGTGATCTGATTTACTAAGTTGAATCACATGTATTTCAGACTTTGGACCAACTTGTTATCATTCAGACTTCGTTGTTCATTTGTGCTTGTTTAGTACAATTTTTTTAATTTCTTTTATTTTTGTATTAATGGCAATAACTTAATTTTATGTACGTAGCTAATTGGTTAATTTTAATGTTCAGACTTTACTAGCTCTATTAGCACTAGTTAGCACTGCTAGGTAGATAGGTATTGTCAGATAAATTATTTTTCAATGAAAAGTAGTTCATATTAATTATTAGAATTTATTCAATTACTTATAAACATTATAAAAATAAACTCATTTAGCATTAAGAACAACAGTGCCGTTTTTGTTTACAAAAAATAGATAAAGTAGATAAGTACAGCATGTCAAAGAAGTTTGACATGAAACCTATACCTACCTAACTAGCCGCCTAGCAAACGTGCAATATGTCTGACTATGAGAAGACTTGCATACATTCTACTCGTTAAAAGATTGTTTTAATTTGGTGGATTTGCGTCAAACATAAGGTATGTTATTATTATTACACTTTCTAATCTAGGTTTAAAAGTTAAAAATACTCTATAGTATTAAAAGTTGATTAAAATAACCACCTTACTGACCTGAAAGATTACACACAACTTCCGACGTGACAAGTATAACATCTCAGTAAGTAATTACCTCCAAGGGAGTGGTCCAGTCCAGACCAGTCCCGTCCCTATAGAAATTATGTACACATACATAATATGTATTTAAGTAAGTCTGTAGGTAATAAAGATAAAATTTAAAATGTTTCTAATTCGATCGAATACAATGTGGATTTTAGAGTACAAGAAAAAAAACTGAAAATTTCTATAAATTTTCGGGAACTTCAGCTTTAAAAAAATATATGCCTACTCTTTATTGGAACATATCATTTGATTATTTACATGTAAATTAATACTGTTATCCTTGTTTTGGGAAGGAACTGACTTCTCATATACAGCTCACGCTAGTTGGGGAGTCTGGACTGCATCAAACTGTACACTGATGGTTTAAATAAATAAATAACATTTTGTATTATCATTATTTCTCTTGTATATATCGGCGGGGTCTGATATAGGTACAATCCAGCTCTTTTATTTTCAGAAAATACCAACAACTAATTTATTGTGGTAATCCATGGTTTGGCAAGAATCTTAGCCTATAATGGCAGTAAGATATTGCATTATTTACTATGTTAGTCAGATATTGGCGTGACATGAGATAATATTTTAAGAATTCCTTTTCTAGCACTTCTTGCGTATTTAGTATGTAGTTTCTTCAACGTCTCTTATGATATTCAAGGGACGAATAGATGTGATACGTTATGTAATACAATTTTCGAGGTGATTAGCACCATAATATTGTCTTCCTTTATAAAGTAATAAATAAAACAAATATTTTTGTTCACTTACGTGTATTTTCTTTTAGCGACATTTTTATAACTATAGAGTGCATAAATAGAAATTTTTTATTTACATACATTTACATTTATATTTTATGTAGGTAGGTAGGTAGGTGATTAGGATTAAAATGGCTATGATAACCAAATTTAATATCTCGTTCATATAAATTAATCTAAAAATACTATCTATAATAGAGCAAATGTTGATGAGATAAAATTTTGGAGAAAACTACTGGAACTTTTCAACCAAACTTGAAATAGACATATGAACATACATATTAAAAAGTAATAATTAACATTAATTAGATTGTAGTAATAAATGTGTTATAATGAATATTTTATTTGATTATGATTGAATTTTTTCAATTCTCCAATATTAAAATTATTTGATACGAGTCCAGACTACAAAAAAGTCCTTTTCATTTCAAACAAATAAAAATTATTCACACGTGAATTATAAAGTGAATAACATATAACATTTTCGCGTCTAAAAGTCTTAAGCCTAAATTCGAGAAAATTTATATTTAGTAATATATGTATAATATAAAATAAGACTATACTTATGACTCACGTCAAAAGTACTGACCCAAAAATATCAAATATTTATTGGTCGCTTGAATTCCCCCTAAATTATTAACTTAGAAAATTAACACAGCCGAAGCCAAATGGAGAAACTCGTATATGTACTTCACATATTTTTGATAAAAAAGAGAGATATTAATCATCATTCCTTATCATCAATAAATCCCATCAATAAAAGTCAATTATGTATTGTGTAAAAACAACAGATTATAATAAAAACATGACTATGATATATATTTAATTCACATTAATTCTGTGTGGAAATACATTATTTTATGTTTAATGGTAATATCTCAATTACGTAAAATGTCTATTGATAGATTTAATTATCCGTCAACAGCATGGCAGTTCCAGCAGATAATTTATTATAATTATAATAACCTGTGACATAATTACCCGAGCCATTGTTCAATTCTGAGAATAAAACGCTATGCTACACTCGCACTAAAAAATCATACAGCAATTACGTTGTCAAGGAGTCTAATTAAATAGATAGAATGTAAATCTTTTTCCACAACATATACGAAGATAAAATTATATACTTACTTTACACTTGAAACAATGTAAAATAATTTGGCTATATGTACCGATAATAGTTTCTCTGTCTACATTTTAAACAATATAAATATTCTGAATTGATGCGCAGTTTAATGTTACATCAATTTTAAACTCTATTACCCACATTCTAATTCTATAACATAGCGATGTTCTGTATTTTTTAATCAATCTACGTCTTCAGCTGTTGTTCGTATATACCTAGAAATTTATTACCAAGTATTGATCTGAACTTGTCGCAAGTGTTTTCATGACAATACGTAATTTAGTAGTATTATACACGTTCTCTTTCCCTCTAGTTGCGTGCTGGAATTTTTCTTTGCCAGCTAAGCAAAGGTCACTTCATTCAACAAATTTTGTTCTACTTTCACTAACTATTTCAAGTTCGTTGGTTTGAACATATTACCTATTTCTTTATTTCCCTTATTACATAATTAGTTTTTCATTAACCATTTTATCACAACTAAACACAAATATCAAATCATTGTTCTATACTTACGTAGTAAACGAGAAAGTTTCAAGTTTATATAAGACAAAGACAAAAACATTTAATTATTATTAATATACACATAACATCCCATGTAAATTTCGTTGGGTTTTAGCATGTAACATTCGAATTCTTTCATACTTCTCCAATCGTAATACGTTAATCATACCCTACATACATATGCATACACACAATGAAGGAACATATTAGTTAATCATTAATCTTATAGGTAATTGTCCATTAATTCGTCTGAAATTTCAAACATAAGTGGACTCTATCCCTTATTTACAATACTTTATAAAATTATTCGAATCTATACGTAGTGAATTGTGCAAAAGCGCTTACATTGAGGTAATAACTTACACTGTGTAACTGGTGACTACTAATTGACTATTCGTACTAAATTATATAGATTTCTTAAATACACCTCATAAACTTCACCCAAAACCTAAGGTAACAGAATGTCATGGTTCACAGATTTGATAGAAAATAACAAAAAATGACATTCATTTGATGTCGTGCTGACAATAAAATATCTAATAGCTTCCTTTATGTTAAACAAGTGGGAATTTATTGATACTCCAGTTAGCATCATGAAAATGCCTCGTAAATTGTACAAGGCCGTAAACTGAACCACCGAGAGCCTTAACTACTGCTATTATATTACGACTCCGCTTCTTGAAATAATTTTTGTGGTTTGCTCTTTAGATTTTTCGGTCGATGTGTCCATATTTATCTTGGAGGACTGTATTTTTTTCCACGTATCACCAAGGGCTTTACTAAAATGATCGTCAACCACTCCTTTGCTGGACGACTGCGATTTTTCACCATCTTTTGATCTCGATGTTTGTATTTGTCGCCAGGTGTCACCGAGGGCTTTTTCGAAGTGGTCGTCGACCCAGAGACTAGCATCGTCGACTTCCATAGCAATTGTTTTAGTAGGCTTCGGAGGTTCTTCCGGTTTGAACTGGATTGGACTGCTTGCACGATCCTTCGTGTTCGGTTTTGGACCAGGTTGAACATTTTCTCCGTTCTTCTTGAATAAGTTCATGTAGTCATCTCCCAGTGAACGTCTAAAATGTTCGTCGATTACCGGATCACACATTGACATCGAACCTATGAAACAAAAACAATTCTTATTTATGAAGGTGGTAATAAAAAAAATAACGTACCTAATTAAGTATAAGAAAGGTTATTAATTGCATAAGAATAAAGATAAAATCTAATTGAGGCAGGTCACGACACAGCCGATGTATCGAATATAGATTATGATCAACTTACAAACGCGTGCAATGCGATTATAATAATGATCGTTCCAGTAAGTCTGGCTAATTAGTGGTAGTAACATTGAACCTCTTATACAACATTAGGCATATTACTGACATTGAGAAAGTAAACAAAAGATATTCCAACCATAGAAAATGAATAAGAATATATTCATATGTGGTTTCGTCATTCTGAAGAAGACGTTATATAAAACTTAATATTATATTTTTCAGACGATAAGGTAATGATAGGCTTAATGTCTTAGTCCTATGGAATGGCAACACACGAGGGTATCTCGGCCATCATATGATAACCTGATGTCTGCATTGCTATTCATCTATAAATGTAGGTAACGGGTAACCGTTACTTAAATAATTTCCACTAATTTATTATTCCAATAAGTCATTACATACATAATCGACATATAAATAATCGCAAAGAAACTTGACGCACAATGTTTGGGATAGAGAAGAACAGTCAGTTAATCAAGAGATCTCGACTACGCGAAATAAGCCACGTATAAAAGTTAGTTTTTCATCATGTAGTGTTTGTATATTTTTAAAACTCGATATTACCTGGTGGTGTGTCATGACTTTTCGTGATGACAGACGGTCGGTTGTACGGCGGTGGTGCAGGTCGCGTCCGCAATCGCATATCGATGGGAGCTTCATATTTTCCACCTGGATACTCTGGTGGCGCTCCTGTAGACAAAAATATTAAAGTATTAGTAATCTATTATTATAAAAAGGCCCTTTTCTTTCAGTTTAGGCAATAAAAAACACCGCTGAAAATTATTTAGGGTAAATATTGTAAATTGTTCTGCATACCAAATATGGTGACATACCGACAGCGCCACGCTCCGAGATAAATATATAGAATATACTTTTTTGCCATTGTAAATTGTAAAAGAGAAAAATTACACTCAAACATTTATTAAATACATTTGTATAACTACAATAAGCGCCTTATTATTGACAGCATTTTTGTTCAGGGCAATCTTAGGGAACTCATAATTATGGAAGACGAATAACATTCAAATAAAGAAATACGATAGTTTTATTTAATTTATATTTCAATGGGTTCCTTCATGGTTATATCTATCTAGGAACTCATTAAAATATACACACAAATATTTATCCAAATTCGCCCACCCATTTAAGAGTATGTATGTTAGTTATGTAAGATATAAAGACAAACTAGATGCATGTAAAATGAACAACTAATTCAATATTATTCAACTGCACTGCATTGACAAGAGAAATTGAGGGAACTATTCATACTTCGAAGCGCGCGTATTTAATTGAGTTATAAGTTAACTAGACTCAAAGTTGAGAATTACGAAGTACGTGGAATATACAACTAATGTACTATCTGTAAAAGAAGATACACTAGTTAGCACAATTTCCGTATCAAATATATCGTAGTGATTTTCACTATGATATTGTCACTTGAAATCGTAAGTAAAAGTTTTTTAATGTTAACAGGCTGATGGTCCCTCTGGGGACAAGTAACCGTCTTCTACATATATACAGCGCTACGGAAATTCTGGATACGAATGTTATATATTGTAACTTCGTTGCGTAATTTTACCCTTAAACCAACATAACTTATAAAGTAGGCTGTTTGGCGGATGAAAAAGTTGAAACTGACCCACCATACTTTTGTTTCATATTCTGTAATTTCGTAGTGTAATTTTACCCTTAAACAGAAACAGAATTCACAAAGCAAGTTGTTTGGCGGTTGATAAAGTGAGAATGACACCATACTTTTTACAACGCCTGTCTCGGCAGTTGTTTAAAGATAATTGAATTATTTCATCAGCCTTCGATTAATATTAATATCCATCAGACGAGTTATTTGCTGTACTCTCCTGAATATAAATTTCCCTAAGGAAGTATTGAATGCCCTGTATTCATTGACTACAGAATTCCTACTCCCGGGTAGGAATTCTATTGAAACTTTCTCGAGCACTACAAGATGATGTAACTTCCTCTGAAGTACCTTGCTTAAATGTCTCATACTATACTATATGTCTAATCATCAATACTCATGTTGTCTATGTGAAACGAAATATATATGTTGTACGATGCGAATATAACTTAGTAATTTTAAGTTGGTATAGGTGTATAACTTGCTAGTACAAGTGATATCTGCTTAAAATTACCTGTTTAATTTTCATATATTTTGTTATAACTGAGAGGTTTATAAATGATGCATTGGAAAGTGTTAGTAGATAAATAATTATATTATAGTATAATAACTGCTTTATCCCATCGATTTTTTATTCGTGTATGAGTAAGTAAAGTTGATATTGTTAAGTAAATGCACATAGGGCATTCTGTCGACTGTGTATGCGAATAATAGTGTTTATTAAGTTAAATTTATCGAATTCTTTGTTGTTGCTTTTAGATTTCAAGCTCTTTGTATGATATAACTCGACTCTTGATATAACTCCATATAATATATAGGTATATCTATAAGTCCCTCCTTACCTTTTCCATTAAAGACTAAATTGGCGGGAGCGTCATCCACTTCATCTGAGAGCTCTCCGTCGCTGTGAGGCTGTGCGCGCGCAACCGTTGCCACACAACGCCTTTCGTTAAATGACTGCGACCGCAGCGCCATCTTGCAATTTTCCCTGAATATTGACATATGTATTAACAAGATTATATTGAAAATCAGTTTAATACTGGCCTATATATAATTGCTCTAACTACCACAAACTCACAATATGCAGTTGATATTAATTGACATCCAAAAAATTTAAAATAAAAGGTTGATATGGGCAACGAAATGTTATTAATAATATAACTGTAAATTTTAAGTTGCAAGGCCATATGATCTTTTGCCATTTGAACTCAATTTTACATCATGACCATTATTAGAAAGACCAAAAATTGCCCGAAAAACACTATACACAGCACGTGGACGAATTAGTTCAAAATGAAGAATTGTATTCTAAAAAATGGTGATTTGGATCCATTTGTATATTTGCATTTAGTTGTGCGTGGTGTTATTGACACTTCGTAAATGGATTTTGTTTGAAAGTTTTATTTTCAATTGTAAGGTATTGTTACCTCGTAACTTGATATAGGCTACGGATAAAACGAGGACATTAACATGTATCTAGCTTTCTTGGTACTACTTAAAAACTAACATAGTCATACACATAATGCACTCCTTATTTAGGTAACGTGTACAAAAGTGAGACATTTCACCTCGGCTAAGGTGTTAAACATAAATTTAAAGGTAGACCAGATATAAAAATATTAAATAAAATATTTTTTGCTGCACGTCCATTGCCATGCCCGATCATAAAGTGCGAAAGGCTGCCAAACCTTAATGGCACATAAATCGTATTGAAATAAAATAGGTAGAGACATTATCTTTTCATTTACTGTTTTTTTTTATTTTTATGTACAAATTCAATTCAAAATTTCCAGGAAAGATACTTCAGATAACTGAATATATAACGCCGTTTTTATTTTTTGTTGCTAGTGCTAAATATATTTTAAATGTTTCTTACCTAGGTCTGTAATCAGGTTGTCTCATTGACCTTCTCTCTCTGCGCCATTTGCCGGTCATTTCCTTGATTTGAGGAGTTCTAGGTGCTTCAGGTGAGAGGGTACGGTCACCCTCAGATTCCCCACTTGAAGCAGTACTCGGCGTCTCTGGAAATAATAGAATACTGGTCATTTAGAGTATACATATAATCCGAAGATGTGATTTGACGCCAAAAATAGAGAAGAAAAATTTAACAATATAAGCAAAGCCGCTTCGCCATTACGGTAAAATAACACACTTTTGTGTACATATTACTCAAGTAACTATGATACTAGTGCAATTACCATGAATTGAACTAGTATCAAGGAAAAAATATAATAAAATTTGGCTAAAATTCAAACCCAAGTGGAATAAATCTGTTAAATTAAATGTAAGTAGGTACACATTGTTAACACATCCATAGAAATATTATAAATATAAAAGAATCAATCTGCTGTTAGCTTTTCACGAATAGACGGCTCAACAGACCTTAATGAAAAACTTAGAGTAGACTATTTACAAGTTTTTTTTAAGGTCTGTTGAGCCGTTCTTAGTAGGTATCACGTTATTATAATTATAACTATATTTAACTTTTCCGAACTGACTACACTTAGAATATCTATAATTCATACTAATATTAAACTGAATGGTATTAGGCAATGAAATTCGATATGAAATTAAACTAAAAAATAGATTAGCAAGTAACAGTAGTAAAAAGACTCGATATCGTTTTGTAGGAGGTTAAAAATACTATGTTATATATATAACACGAAAGGCACATACTATATTGAATCCAGCGCCAATATTCGATTAAATTAATGTTGACACAGAATCCTTCGGCGGATCTTCGAACTTGATTAATCTCGATTGATTAATCTAATTCGGTGTAGATTAGACACGTGTAATAATTAACTAAATGCTTTTGTACCTTGTCTGGATCTCCATTATTGGATTAATCAGAAATGTTTATAATTTTCAGTTATGTCAAAATGACAAAGTTACGTATACAATACACGTATACCTATCTGTAATACCTCCTCAATGTATATAATTTTATGAGAGTATAACTCCCACATTTTTTATCTTCCATTGTAATTGAAACAATGTCTATGCTCACAAGAAATTTACACATAAAAACACATACTTTGATTCGACCTGTCATTGAACTCTACGCTGAAGCTATGGGCACCTAAGACGACCTTGGTAATTTAGCGGTTAACGCCAGTACCATATACCAATGGGCGTGGGTTCGATATTCGACTTTTCAATACAATATGATTCAATACAGACTTTATATTTACGTACGAAGAATTTACGTTTGAAGCAAAATATAGGCACAAAGCCTATATGACTAGAATAAAAAAAACTATTTATTTATTACGAGGACAGCCATGGTCTAGTGGTTTAGCACAAAACTTTGTTTCCTTTGGTTGCGGGTTGGATTCCTCACACGGTACAAATATTTGTATTCATGAGTATGATAGTTTGTATCGGTCTGGATGTTTTCTATGTATATTAAGTATGTATTTACAAAAAATATAGATATCTATGTATTTATAACAGTTGCCTAATACCCATAAATACAGGCTCTGCTTAACTTGTCACTAGATGGCGCTGGGTGTGGAATTGTGCTGGTATATTATTATTACATATAATGAATTTCCACGACTTTATCCTCTATGAGAGTTATACATATGTATAATATACTACACCACGCTCGTATGATTGACTCTATAAGTCAGAGAGAAACTTTGTACAAAGTTTGATACGTAAGTTTACTCTTGGGACACATTCTATCGTTAAGCAGCTTATGATCTTGCAAGTCTTGTTTTGGTTTGAAAATCTAGATATGGCAGTGAAATTACATCGTATAGAGGTACATTGCAATGCTATACACAGTATATTTTATTATGCTCTTTTAAGGTTTCTCATATTTGTAAGTTTGTTAGTTTTTAGGATATAAACCTTGTCACTAAATACTATAAATAGTTTATATTAACTATTAGAACTGATGCACTTTTTAAAATATTTTCTTTTTGTAAATACGTAATAAAGTAAAGTATTAAAGTACATTGAAAACAGGTACAAACAATTACAGATACCAAAACAAATGTTTTTAATGTGCGAGGAATGTACGAGAGACCATTAGTGTTAGCAGTGTGTTAAATCGTTACACCGTGGTCATTATAAATAGTTCATTGAAATTCCAATACAAATAAATAATAAAGAATATTATACAAATGTCCAAAATAAAGTCAATACTATCGCTTTAGAGTACCAATAATAAGTACACAATTATTGTTCTCATTCAATATTACCTACTAATTAAAGCAAAGTACCTTTTCCTGGAGAGGGAACCCATGGTTGCCATAAAGGCACATTGAATTTGGGCGACTGTGGAGGTTCCATTGATTCGAATTGCAGACTACTTAACGAGGTACGGGCCAAGAGTAGTAGGTAATGCGGTAGTTCCATCATCACTGCGCGCAGGCAACGTTTGGTGACACAATATACAGAAACTTAATGCATCACATTTTATATTCACATTCACAACTCTATGATAAAACGTTACTTATCAAAATTTACAAAATATTAGTTTGTTATTTTAGCAAGTAATACAGGTAGATATGAAATACTGGCGTCCCGACACAGGTAACACTGAAGGCCGACTGAATAAAAAATGAACTGGAAGAGATTACATTGGAATAAATAAATGAGATGAAGAACAAAAAACAAACCGAAAAGAAAAAGAGCATCATGCTACATCCACGCGGCCGGACGTTGCGGCGCTTCCTTCGAACCCTGCGGTCACAGGGTGTTACTTATTTAATTCTGAATTATATAATATCTTAATTATTTGGAATAGAATAGAATAGAATTACTTTTTCAGGGACAAAAATGCACAAAACCAATGAAATGAAAAAGCACATAATAGTGCATGGCAAAATAGCAACAAGTAATTTCATAAGCCACCAGATAGTTATTTGTTTGGAAGAGTTGTGAGCGGCAATATTTGGAAGTTATATTTACGTTATGACCTTTTGAATTTATTAAAAATAGGTAAATCTATACATTCGGATCATAATAACGTTATGTTATTAATTTTATATAAAACAAACCAACCTACAAATTAAACATGACTACATCGTGATCACAATATAAAAGATAATTATTGACACAGACACCTTATTAATCAATTTATGTTCAAATCACACGTGTATATATATATAATATAAAAAGCAAAGTGAAGGATATATGAGAAACAATTTGTATCTCTGACTTTATACAACTAAATTGCTACACAAAGATGTGACAAATGACAATGCAAACATAATGATCTTTAACCTCTATCTGCATAACACAAAGGAAATGATGACATCACAACATTTTGAAGTCAGTGAGACATGGTCATATCAAAGAAAACATTATTTTCATTGCTGACCTGATTTATTTAAGTAAGTAGTGTCTACAGAAATGAGGACGTTCCTATCTTTACTTTTTGTTTCCCAGAAGCTCGATTTTAATTGTGTAGTGTATTTTTAATTTTATCGTTACTTTATATAACAGGTAAAAGTAATATATTTTTGTAGTACCATTACTAAAAATAATCTAATTGTTATAAAAATTCGATGTCGTCGGAGTATTTTAACATTTCATTCAACATCAGTTTTATAAACAACATTCAATTATGAACATTTTAGATATCAAATAATTTACTTTTATATTAAATTCATTTACAATTCGAAGTAACTATTTCTACTGCAAACATATAAATTTGCAAACACCCTATATCAAAATACATCAACCTGTTCGGTCCATTCATGAAAGTGCGTGAGCGCAGGGCGCGGGGATTAATGAACCCCCGCACCCTCCTTCCACCATCTATAAAACTTTTAACTAATTTGAGACGTATGGTCTAGCATATAAAGTTACAAATTATTTGTTCTATACTGGAATGCTACAAAGATATGAAATAAAACTTGTGGCTTGCAACATAGAGTATAAATTAGTTTGTAAAGCAACAAGATTGAAGGTAAAATTACGGTGGTTGTATCCTTGGAAGGTTGTGTTTTATTTTGGTGCGGTCAGGTGAGGGGCAAGGGAGTCTGTATAGAGCTGTGAGAAGTTGCCCCGCTACACTGCTTGTAGGACCGTATAAGCATTAGCTTTTTTATTGTCTAATAGAGCGAGGCAAAGGCTCACCGACAGGTTAAACTTTGGCGCCATTGCTTTAATTAAGTCTGGAGGTTCGCCGAAAAGTAATGAGAAATTAATAACAGATTTATTGAACAAGTCATTAGATATACTATAGCGAAGAACATAAGATATGAAGGAGGATCTTCAATATTATTTAATAATTATGGTCTTTTCGTAAATAAACATCCCAGTACTGTTTATATATACTATGTTTGAAAATTTAAAATGTTATGAAATAATAGGTACTATATAATTTTATTATACAAAAGAAGCAATTTGTTAACATTGTTAGTCTTTTAAACAAGTTCCACTAGAGATACCGCAAAGGGAAATTTTCTAAACCACTCAGCGGAGTATAATTAAACAGGCGTTTGTTGCCTTATTTTTTTCTGTTTTATTTTATTTCTGCCACCGCTCCATTGAAGCGGAGCGCCACGGGCACAGCTACTGGTTCTTGTTAGGTATTTATCATTGTTGGGGTTACTGGTCACATTTGAAATTATACAATGCAACAGTCTCTTTCTAGTATTTATCGACTTATTTTACTTTTAAGTTTAGCAGGAATACTATTCAATTGTTTTAAAAAGTACAGCCACAGATAACATAATTGGTACAGCTATAGAATAACTTACTACATAAATAATATTTACTCTATGTAAAATGAGTAAAGATTAATCTATAATTAATTATAAGTAGTATCTAGAAAAAGACTTTTTTAATAGAAGAAAGAATTGTTTAATATTACGCAACATGAAGTTTTCGAGAAACTAGGTTTTGATTACTTTGTGCACGGATATCACAATGTTTCATTTAAACAGTCGTTTAATACCGAGGCGATGACATGGGCAATATCAGTGCAGTTATTAAATATGGACTTACTGCATCATGCCTCATTGTTTGGTTTTATATTGTAAATATTTAACGTAAGTTA